TCGCGCTGGAAAGCGTCACGGTCACGCAGTTTGATGTCCGTGGGATCATACGCGCGATGGGTGGGAGAGAGGTCGGGGTCAGGTATACTTTCAACGACTGGCTGTCGTTCGTGGATGCGCAAGCCATCCCCGTGCCCACAGAGCACAAGACGCGCGGAGAGCGCTTCTCCTTCACCTTGTACACGCCTCCTTTCTTAGGTCCGAGCGCTGCTGTGCATTTCGCCGTGTACATGAGGGACGATAACTCTGAGTTCTGGGACAACAACGATGGGATGAACTATTCGCTGAAGTACCACAGCTCGTCATCCAGCGAGACCGCGGCTTTCAACGCGATATGAAGTGGTGCGCTTTTACGCAGGGGTTCATTGCGCGTTTCACCGAGCACTGTTACTGTCGTCAAAGAGGCTTCAGCGCTCAAGGCCGAAGGATATATGCAGTGGATTGACATGTCCTAGAAAGAGTTTACCAAAAATGAAATTTCCTTCATCATATAGTCACCCTCATGTTGTTCCAAACCCGTTTGATGTTGTTTCTTTCGTGGAAAGATATTTGGTAGAATGTCCAAGCTGCTCATATAAGTGGATGAGGGTTGTTCAGCCCCAAAAACACCATGAAAGTGTCATAAATGTGGTCCATATGTCCTGTCCGTTATGTTCTAAAATTCTAATATCACATACTTTTATAATTTTAAAGTTATTACTTGCTAAAAATCTTGTCTTCTGCAGTCATGTCACATTTGAATTGAAGCCTGTTCTGTCATAGGAACACAAAATAAAAACAAAAAGATAATTGTGACTTTTTATCTCACAAATCAGACTTTCATACACTTTCAGAAAACTCAGAATTGCGAGACGTGAACTTGCAGTTCTAAGAAGAAAAGTCATAATTGTCATACAAGTTGCGATTATTATTCATTTTTTGTGTTTTATTCTGTGAAAAATGCATTTACGTCTTGCAGTTATAACTTTTTTATAAACTCGAGAGTTTTTCTGAGAGAGAAAAAAGGCAGAATTGTGAGATAAAAAGTCACAATTACCTTTTTTAAAATTTCTTTATAAATTTTTTTTAATGCTGTAGCGGAACCAAGCTTCCATACATTTACCTTCGGTTCAGACCAGATATGCCTCCAGACACATAGAACCAATGAAATATAAATGCAAATCAGATATGGGAGCTATGGAGGAGGGGAAAGCTTTTACTCACACAAAGACTTTATACTATACTTTGTTGTTTTTTGTCCCTTTTGAAGCTTGACAGCCCCTCTTTAGGCTGCGATGTGTTTTTTTTGAATGGAAAAGAGCAGCGTGGACATTCTCCCAAACATCTCCTTTCGTGTTCCACAGAAGAAAGAAAGTCATACAAATTGAAATGACATGAGGATGAGTAAATGATGAAAGAATTGACTTTGTTGTGTACTGAAATGATGCAGGGAATCACACATTACTTTATGCTGGTTTTCCTTCCCAAATGAGTCAAGCCATTTATTAATAATGCAAAATGTGTCGTTTCTATCATGGCTCATGCACTGACACTGAAGTTCTTTGGAATGAAGAGGCTTAATCACTGAGAAAATAAAACAGCAATGAATTATGGACAATCAGCAGTTCCATTTGGGACAAATAAATGTAGTTTGATCTGAGAGTATTCATCAATGACATTTGTTAACTCATAATTTTGGGAA